CTTTATTTACTTCTTGGTTTCATCTGTTGGTTGTGGTGGGGGGGGATGGGCTCCAGGGAGCCAGGCAAGCACACAGCACAGAGCTCAGTCTCAGGTAAAACTGCTCTTCACTCAGGAAGGTGAACCTGCTGTCTTGAGTTTTAATGGCTACTTTTGCTCTTGGAATTTAAGATCAGATTTTCCTTTGATCTTTACAGCCAGGCAAAAGAAGAGCGCACTTTAGCTCAGGAACCAGAGTATGTACAGTGGCCTCTGCATGCCCAGCTCCTCATGGTTTAGGTGGTTTCTCCCTTTCCAGCTATGTCTAAACCAAAACTGTACTTACATATGTGCCTGCATTGTACCTCTCTCTCTCTCTCTCTCTCTCTCTCTCTCTCTGTGTGTGTGTGTGTGTGTGTGTGTGTGTACATGTGTTGTGTGTGCTTGTAGTAACAGAGATCGGCATCAGAAGTCTTCAACAATTATTTTCATTTAATTTTTGAGACAGTCACTGAAACTAGAGCTTGCCAATTTGGCTGGGCGGGCTAGCCAACAAACCCTAGGGTTCCTCTTGTCTCTGTCTTCCCAGCACTAAGTTTCCAGGCACAGACTGCCACAGCCAGCTAGGGGTTGAGCTCAGGTTCTCACTCTGACTAAGCCATCTTCCCAGCCCAGTTTCTAAGGTTCTCTTTCCCCCTCCTGGGACTTTATCATCAGGCTGAAAACCACCTGTGCAGCGCTCAAGAGTACAGAAGCCATGGCTGCCGGCCACACTAAGGCCCCTCCCTGTGCCCTACTCCTCTGGCAGGCAAAGGTACACACAAGCCATTGCTACTCCTAGCTTGTGAACCTCCTGCACTTTCTGTTTTATGAGAAACATTACTCACAGCATGTTGGCTAAAGGGTAGGGAAAGAAGTACCCAGGCACAAGGGAGTTTGTTCTCACTGAGGGAAGAAGACAGCAGCTTTGCCACCATGCTAAGGCATAGGCTAATGGGGATTAGCGTGACCTCATGAAGTATAACATCTTTGTGGCTAGGAAGGTGTATTCAGATGGGAGGGGGATATTTATTTAGTGCTTGCTACACACCGTGACCTCCCTCTTGTTCAGCCTGGTGGCTTTGGGTTCTAAAGTGGCAGAGGAAGAACTGAAGGAAAGCCCCCTGTGATGACCCTCCAGAGGCACAGCCTCTTAAGCCCAGGAGCCTGAATTGGGTGACACTCCAAAGGCTGGTTGAGATTAGATTCCATTCTGGCTAGAGGAACCCCCAGGTAGACATTGTGCATGTGCCTCTGTAGTGGCATTAGTTGCCTTCTTTAGGAATCACATGGTGCTCTCCCAGTGGCCTTAGGGGTAGGGATAACCTAATGGTCTGAACCTCCTAGAGGCAAAGATCCTGAGCCACAGTGAGGATGAGCAAGTTGTCTATCTAGAGGATGATGGGACATTCCTGGTGGTCATATGAACCCTAAGTAAGAATCAGGAGGAGGTTGCCAAGAGTCACTGAGGGCAGGTGGGATCTGAGTAAGATTAAGGAATCAGCACAAGGAAGGACCCACAGGGGTGGGAACAGATTCTGACTCTTTCCAGCCCAAGGAGCAGCCATCTTCAATAGCACAGGGAGACGGCCACAGCCGAATTCAAATCAGACTCGCAAGCCAATTCTTTTAGACCTCTGACCACAAAGACTGTATGGCATAAGTGAGTAGCCTTGCCTATGGCCACAGAGGTTGGAGATGCCATGTTTCTTAGCAACAGATGATGGACACAGCACAAACTTCTAGACTGTGGGAAGTGAGGCCTATTCTGGGATAGAGCGCTAACAGGTCAGGCTGGGTCTCACGGAAGCTGCAACAGGTAGGTGGCTAGTTCACATACAAGCAAGAAATAGTCTCACACCCACAGAATACCCTGAGACCAACTTCTTTGAGTGCTTTCGAAAGACTCACGTTGGCCACGGGAGTTTCCCGTGTAGATCCGAGTGTAGACAAATCTAGTTATTCCGGGCACTGTTTCTTCAGCCAATCTCCTCAACCTCCCAGTTGCCTTGAGGCACTGGTTACATCTGTCCCTTGTCCCTCATCTCCTTCCCCTTCCCCAACAGAGTGATCAGGAGCAGCGGGGCTGTTTGAAGAATTCGCTGAGCTGAGCCAACCTGTCTTAGGAAGAAAACTCTTGTACACAGTCTTGCTGCCATAATCGGCAGACAGGCTGAATACTCCTAACCTTCATATGAAGCAATTAACCTGCCATAGACCTTATGCTATGAGCCAGGAGGTAGACACTTCTTCTGGTTTGTCCCCTCACAAAGGGTCAAGAAGAAGGCAGGTAGTCACAGTCACCCACTCTCTGAGATGAAGGGTTGGTGTGGAATCCCCTTCCTGGGGTCAAGGGTAGGTAAATGACAACTGTTATCAAGGTTTTGAGACCCCAAAAACTCTCTGAGCCTGGGAAAAGCAAATGTGAGTGCCTCATTGAAGCACAGCCTGACCTTACCTATGTGATGCTTTGACCAACTCTTCCCACTGTCCTCAAGTCACACTCCCTGGTATTTGTTGGAAGAAACATTCAATAACTCAATAACAACAACAACAAAGAGAAAGCAAGTTCTTCTTAGGCACACCAGGAGAAGGAGGAGTAAGCTTGGAGCTCAGACATGGAGACTTTGGGTATGAGTGCTTTGGCTCCCTATGCTCAGAACCTTCAATACAGGGCCAGGGTTCACCTGTAGGGATGGGCAGGCTACTACTCCCTGCTTTCTCTCTTGGAAAAACAAAGACCAGTTACTAAAGGGCAAACCCTGCGTGGCTTTTGAATGCAATATTTCAGCACCTCCAACTTAGTCATCTGTTAATAGTTATTGACTGCCCACCAGCGTACCACCATCACCTGTGTGCATCCTCTTGGCTCCCAGGTGACCATAGAGGACAAGGAAAGTGCAGGCCCTGGTCCATAGTAAGTATCTACAGGTTCAACTCTGATGAGACAGGGAAGTGGAACTCAGGGGATCTTCTAGAAGGTTCTTGATCAGTTAAAGTGGGCTCTATCCCGCCCGCAGGCTTCCTTTGCCTCCCCTCCTCCATCCTAGCTCAGGCACACCATGTGAAGACTAAGATAACGACAGCTGGTAACAAGCCATGCTGCTTGCTGATGTCCCAGGGCTGTTTGGGGTTAATGCCAAGAAGGGCAATTACACTGAATTATGTTATAGGACATTGGAGTGTTTGGAAGCATTGATATATAAAATGAAACCCAGCTAATTATAGCTTAATTAATTAATTACTGCTGTCCTTTGAGGCTTCTCATTTTAAATTGCCTCAACTCCACTTCATCAGAACCTTGTCCGCTGTTAGCTTCCAAGTTCAATGCCAAGGCAAGAAATGAGGGAGGGGAAAAAAATAAAACCTAGAACTCAAGATTCATAAGTTAGTGTCCAGAGAAGGAGTCCAGTGGCAGAAGTGAGTCCTTATCACAGGGTTCCAATCTCCCTAAATCAGAATCGGGAGATTGGGAAAATGAAAATACACTCAACAGTTATCTCCAAGTCTGACCTTTTGTGACTCACGGCGTGTTATTGCTTTTAGGTTAAATGAACAATATGTCCTCCTGTACCCACATATAAGGCAGAAACATCACAAATGCACCATGAAAATTGGAGCCAGTTAGGGGATGCCACGGAAGAGTGGGCTATACCTTTCTGCTGAGCAGAGAGTCTCTTACCTCTCAGATTAGCCTTCCTCAGCATCACTACAGGCATCATGTGTCTTCACAGCGTCCACTCCACTAGTCCATGAGCCATGTGACTCAGGAAGTCCCTCCACAGCACTCCACTTCCTCAATCAAGGAGTGTGTGTGATATAGCAGAGTCCCAGCCAGCCCGTAGAATCTGAACACAGGGACTCATGTTCCTCAGCCAGCAGATGTGGACCAGGAGGCTTCTAATACGGGTTCAGCGGTCTCTCAGTGTTGACATGGACTTCTGTAATCACCTCTGGGACTTCCCCAGTCTCAAGACACCCATTTATAGATGGCTCCATAGCCATGTCCCCAGGCAGGCAGGAGGACTGTGTCTTTCACATCTTATGTAGTTTCGTGTCTTACCAGAGAACAAAATACTTCCCAGAGTCCTTCCAGAGATGAATGAGACCTTCCTACAACACCCATATCCCCTCCCTGGTTGTAGTCTCAACTGTGCAAAGGGAAAAGGAAAGGAGGAATTAGAGAAGAGCTTGCAGGTTCTGCCCCCAAACACTGATTCTGAGCCAATATCTAATCTCAACATCACTGTTTATCTCATGGCTCCAAGAAGTTTATGTCTAAACCAGTGCCCCGTTCTATAACCAAGTGCTCAAGCACAGAGATGGGGGCCGTATACAGAATACTTTTACCAAGAGACAAATGGTGCCAACCCCAGCTATTGCAGGGGTGGGAAGCAGTCAGGAATCAAGGGTGTCATAGCACACGGTGGCTAACTTCTGAAGAGTGGAAACGCAGCATTTCTAGGATGCTTTTAATAACATTATTCCCTATTTTTCTCTCTGAGAAATGAGAAATACAGTTTCCTTCCCCATACTTCTTCTGGGCTATAGGGGTTAAAAATGTTCTTTAGAAATTGTCATCCTAGAGAAAACCATACCATTGTTGAGCAGGAAGGGTGGCAGTAGAAATGAGAGCCTCGCCCATCCCTGGGGCATCCTTTCTGAGGCCCTGCCTTCAAATTTGTGGTCTCATCGGGATACTTCAAGATGTCACTTCCTTGAGACCAGACAGAATGGGAGCTTTGGCTCCCTTGACATGTGGGGAACAAATACCAGCCATCCATTTCTTTAACAGTTAGAGACTTACCTAGTGCCCAGTCATTGTGGGAATATATGTTGTTCCCGTGTTTTTGCCTGTACTGGTATACCCTTTCTGTAATCTGGAGAAGCTGAATGTCAGAAAGAAGCCAAGCAGAACCCTCTCCTCCCCGTTATTTCCAACTCGTTCACTCTCCCTTTGTTTTTCTCTGCCACCTCTGCAGACGAACAAAGCTGTGGCCAAAGGAGACTTCCATCAGGCCAGCACCAGCTCCCGGAGAGCCCTCTTCCTGGCCGTTCTGTCCATCACCATCGGAACTGGCATCTACGTGGGTGTGGCCGTCGCCCTCATCGCCTACCTCTCCAAGAACAACCACCTGTAAGCTTCCCAAAGGCTGGCGGAAGGAGGGGGAGCCAGGCCACCCGTGTGAGGGCAGAGGAGAGACACCTGTGTGATGCTGTATAGTACAATGATTGTCAACCGACTCCATGATGCCCTGGAATCTTCTACTCCCAGACTTCTTCCTCTTTTTTTTTTTTTTTTTGTTCTTATCCTTCCACTTCACCTTCAGCACTGTGCAGAGCACCCAGGCAGCGAGCAATGCTGATTCTTCCACATGGAAGCTCCAAAGATTCCAGCCCAGCGGCTGCCCCTGGATGGATTCTAATGGATCAATGACAACCCAGCTCTGCAGCCTGCCAGTGCCTGGACCGCCGCCCCATTAGCAATATACAAACAGTTAAAAAAATATATGTTTATTTTTTATGGAATATGGTGCAATAGGCAGAATGCAGGAGACATGTCACCACAGCTGTGGCCCGCTTAACTCCTCTGTGTCCCCCATCTTTGTGGCTTCCTTGTCAGAAACAAGTGGGGCTCAGAAGGAGCAAAAAGCACATGATGGGAGATGGGCTATCTCTGTCCCCAGATGGGTCCTGCCTGAGAATGCGAACCTAGAGGAGCACAGCGCCTACCCTGGCCCTGCTCCATCCCAGCACGCTGTCCCAGCTTGGAGCATCAGGCTTCCTGCAGATACCCAGCAATACACAGTTCTGGGGCCTCATCAGTCGTAAAGCGGAGGCAGCCACAACCCCACCTCTCTCGAGAACAACCCCAGCCTGAGGGAAAGGAACTGTGAAGACACACAGGATGTTTAACTCGTGGACGTTCATCCTGCTCGTGAGCAGCAATACTGGGAACCCGGAAATGAAATGGGCCTTACTCTGTCGACTAAATGAATGGCTATTTTCTTGTCATTTTGCTTCATGCTGCTTCAGTTGCCAGGTGAATGCTGAGGAATAGTAATCACAGATGTTTTAATACCATGTCATTGCTGTTTTATGAGTGTTCATTATTTAACAGAAATTATCTTTTAGCTTGTTTGCCTATGAGTTTTTCTTTCTGATGAATGGTGACGGCTGGGCTCTGTTTTGATGATTTACTTCATGTTTTACTAGTGAAAGAGCCAGCCAGCACTCGGCAACTATGGTTGGGCGGCCTTGCGGGGAAAGAATCATGAATCACACAGCCCTGGCTGCTTACAAGTCCATCTTGAGCATCTTCAAAAGATGCCGAGGCGCTCTGTTTGGGTTCTCTCTGCAGTTTTACATTATTCCCAGTCTCTGGAATCCTGGCATCAATGCCCCAGAAATACTAACTTAGCTCATCAGAAATTCAACCTGGTGATTTCAGGGTACAGTACAGGTGAGAACCTCTGTCTGGGAATAATGATAACAAGTTCAGGCTCTCCCAGTTGACACTGCCCCCCCCCCCTTGACCTTGAACTCTTAATGTTTCCAAAATTACTAGCATTGTTTTCCTCAGTTAAATGAGGACTGTAGAGAAGATGAACCAATGAGAGCTGAGCGAGCTGGCCAGGTAGAAAGTATAAGATTGGGGGGGGGGGGGGGTGTCAATCTAACCTGGATTCAAATCCAGTCATACTATTTTATCATTGTTTTCTGGGACAGTTGTCTGCAACTCTTTGAACTGTGTCTCTGGGACAGGATAATTGAAAGGTTTGCTGCATAGGATTGCTGGAGACTTCCTGGGGCCAAGAGACAGTGACGGTATAAGCTGGTACAGTAGCTGGCATGGTTCTGGTTACTGTTAGAATTATTCATAGGCCATTTCACAGCGTGTTTTTCACATTTTTCTTTTAGCCCAACCTCTCAGGATTTCAGCTTCATGAAGTGTTGTATAAAACAGGGAGGGTATTGGCCTAAAATGATGCGTCTTAAACTCAAGGGATGCCAAAACTGCCATCTCTTATGGTTTGGTGAAGACAGAGTTTCGGTCCTAACTAACTAGGCAAGTTAGTCCTCTTGATCTAGCTCAGCTACCCACCATATCCTGGTCTTGTCTTTCCAGATGGAAGAGGCTTCATTTACAATGCTGCTGCCCTTGCTATAGATTCTCAAGAATCACTACTCATTTCTCCAGGGCCGGGGACCAAGGCCATTTCAAGCATCTTACTGGTCATAATCAAAAGTGATTGCATGCAGAGTTGGAACTAGCGGATTGGGGCTGTGTTGAGGAGTGCGTAGCGCAGTGCCGTCAACAGCATGGCTGTGGTGTCCATGGGGGAGTGGATGAATGGCATCCTCAGTGGCCATGTTAGTCTCAACTGCAAAGCAGAGTAACCTTCCTGCAGCCTGCACTTCCTTGGATCTTATCAGCCTGATTGCTGTTCCTGTCACTGACTAATACCACATGGGCAAACCTATCCTTGAGCACATGGGCACAGTCTCATACCAGCGTCTTAGGAGAAGCATAGTAAGGAAGGATAAAAACTGAAGTACAGAGAAACGAACACACTGCACACCACAGGTGTGACGAGAGGGCAGAGCCATGCCTGCGAAGCCCCAGCAGGCATGAGTGCTACTTCTGACATTTACACCCTTGCCCCCGACAAGGAAAAGGTGTCTTTTCCGTGCCAGCTTATTCAAGTATTACAAAAAGTCATTCTCACAACTGTATTGCTGAAAAGCAGAGACCCAGAGGCACACAGTACTTTCCTCCAAAGTCCTGTGAGCCAAGTAGCAACCCTGGTTTGCTCAGTTTGGTCCATATCTTGCTCCTCAGCAAGAGAAATGGCTCAGATCACATAACTGGTAAGACACAGACATGATGCTTAGGGACATGGAAGATGTTTGTGTGTCTATATGTCCATCTGACTTTGCCAGAAATGTAGGGAACAGGATGAAGAGAGCTGAAATGACATCAATGCTTAGGAAATCTCCCTTCCAATGGTTGGTTTCCATGCTCCTTTCTTTAAAAATGGCTGTGGTACATCTTCAACTCGCTTCTCCAGATGCTGCTATTCCATTCCTGAAAACGGCTTTTCCACCTCTCTCACTGATCTTTGTAATTTGCTTGAGAAGACTGATTTTACCAGAAGTTCCCACTTCACCGGGTATCCTTAGCTCAATAGCTCTCCCTCTTTATGAAGTATCCTTCTACCACCACGTGTCCTGCGTATGCTAGGTGCCTCATCTTACCAAGTGTCTCAGACACACACACACATCACACCTCATGAGGCTCTCCCATGATATCCTGTATCCCACCTCACTGGAGTCACCACTTGATCAGCTAGTTAACCATACTAAGTCTCTGGAATACACAATATGCCCCCATTTAATGCGCATCTCCAACTTGCCAGGCATCTCCACCCTCCAAGTGCCCTTGCTCAATCTCAGCAGACACTACATAGCCAGTTGCATTCATTTGACCAGGTATCCTAGTTATCCTCGTGAAACTACAATGGGTCCTAAGAACATGATGATAAAGCCCTATCTGTAAGTTACTGAGACCTGGTTGCTGCCCAATTTCTACAAACGGGCCACATGTTTAAGTAGGATGATATGAACGGACTCTTCTATGCCGATCAGGACATCCCTCAAGCCTGGCTAGATACCTGCCCTCTAAAAGCACTAGAGGCCACCTGGAATGCAGAACGAGCTCTGGACATAAAGAGCATCAGTGGATACCCCTCCTTTGCCAGTAATTGTTTCATCTCCTTGAACATAAATGTTCGATGGTCACCACAGTCCAGGCCGTGGCCAAAGCTTGATCTGATTTTCAGAACTAGCTTTACCCTCGAGGATTTTCAGAGTCTGTGAGGCTCTAGTGGTCTGGTTAAAATCCTAATCTCTTTTGAGACACATTTGTGTTTCTACTTGCACATTTATTGCTATGCATATTGACATCTCTTGACTTGTATTAATAAGCCACGGCTTAGCAGCTCTGAACCTGAGTCCAAGCAAGCTCTGGGAAAGTGGGGTAGCTCTGTCTCTTAGAGAGGCCAGGCTGTGCCTCTGCTCTCAAACACTGGGAATATCAGATGCACCGGAAGAGGTGACTGTGTCTGTGATGTTCCCAGCTAGTTACCTCCCTGGTCATCAGGATAAGCTCAGCTGACCAAGGGACAGAGGACCAGAGGCCTCTGCACTCCTGGACTTGTCTCCTTTGCTCTGGAAGATAACTGTGGATGTTAAAGCCACAGACACATGGGGCCTGAGGATGGCTGGCACCCCGCCAAACAAGCTTGTAGAAGGAGTAATGACTACATCAGCCAGCTGAGCACCCCAGGAAAAGGTCAGCGCTCCCTGTGGAGAAAGGCAGCAGGGATGAGAGCTTCTTTAAGCAGGGCTGGGGATCCCAGAGCATTGTCTGTCCCAGCAGGAATGAAGGTGGCCATGTGTCGCGTTCAGCCTTGTCCCGCAAGGAATGACACATGACACACCGGAGCTCTTCTCACTGCAGTTTATTCCAGGACTTTATCTACTTTCTCTCTCTCTTCCCCTCTCTCCTTCCTCTCAGGCAAACCTCTCCCAGCCCTTAAGTAGGCATGGGCTGCCAATCCCGGATTGCCAGGTGGGCACTGCCCATAGGTCCACGCATATGCAAGCAGCTGATGATCATTGCGTGATAATAGCATAAGTCAGACTTTAGCCATAGGAGTTGATTATACATCTCCATCAGGTGTGGCTCTATGCTGCTCGCTACAGCCATGGCAGTCACAGCCTTGGCCAGTCTCCTGAACACCAGAGGCTGAGTACTGTTGCCCACACACCAGGGACAACACACTGGGCAAGGAGCTCCACAGCCCTGTGTGGCCAAGTGATTCATGGCAAGGGAAACCTTCAGGGTGATGGGAGATGATGGAGCATTAACATGGTACCTCCTGGGAGAGGCTTTAGATTGGAGGCATTTCTAGGGGTGATGCCTTCCTGGGCTTTCTAAAGCTTAACAATGACAAAAGGGAGCCAGGTGGCGGCATCTGTATCTTCCTGAGGCAAAAATTGGCAACAAGCCTTGTTTCCAAGAGGAAGGCCAAGAGCTAATTCCTCAGGGTTTTGTCACCGCTAGTGTGGCTGTTATTGTTTGGTTTTCTTTGTTTTTAAATAACAGTGTGCAGGACAGATTTCTTGCAGAAACCCTGGAAAGCCAGGTGGCAGTGAGGTGAAGTCAGGGCTGAGTCCCTGACATTGGTATCACGTGCCACCTCCTCTTCTCTCCCCCACTGTCTTCTATGAGTCTGCTGTCAACATTGTGTGAGGGCTGGTCCCCTGGCAAGATGGTGCCCTATGAAGGCTGTGTTGTTGGCTATCAGCAGCCTCAGGATCTATCGTGATTCTCCATGACCACACTTGAAGAGTCCATGAGAGACCCTGACAGCGTTTGCTTGTCTGCTGCCAGGCATGCACGGTCATGGCACTAAAGCCACCTATGAGGAGTCACAGGGACAGTATTATTCTGAGTCTCGCACCCATTGACATTGACTGTAAGCACTGTCATTGCCTGACATACATCTGCCCCACTAGCTAGCCACAATTAGCACAACTAAGGGATATGGGCCGCAAGGCTTCCATACTTCCTTCTGAAGCAACACTCTGGGCTCTCTGCCTCCCTGCTTGCCAGGATGAGCATCGGCTGACTGAGTCATCAGGCCGCCGCTTTCCCTGGCCACTGCACCTATCCCACTTATGCAATGATAGTCCCTTTAGCACTATAAACAGTCTCTTCTCTCACAGCCAAGCCCTTTGCTCCAGCACAGTGTGAGCTCATGTCTGCCTCCACCAAGCCTTGAGAGAAAAGTCTACGTGTATACCCAGCACATAAAGCATACAAAGAGTAAACACAAGGTGTTCTGCCAGCCGTGGTGTGAATGTCAGTGAGCACCCTGTGCCCTCCGAAGTGACACGCTTTGCTTTGCACTGAAGTCAGGTCACTTGGGAACAATCTGAATCTAGATGGGCAGCGAGGAGGGCAGTATGATACCCATGGGTCTATGTGTGGGGAGCAGAGGCGCCCCACAGTCAGGATCAGCATGCAGCTCTGACTTAATATACTCCGTTCCCACAATGCTGTGCTT